GTCCGAAGGACGGGTACTTTGCTAGTATACTATATATATTAATGTAAGCGTGCAACAGTCGCGCCGCGAGAGCAGTGGCATCCGGCAGCGTACGTTGGACGTGGGATTTGGACGGAATTTACAGGAAACTGTTGGCGAATAGGTGAAAGAGAGTAGGGCTATAGAAACATTCGTATTTAGTTAGCATTATATTTTATTGAAACGCTTCAAGTGCCTGTGACTGTCACCTTGCAAAGGAGGCTATAACCTCTAAATACAATTATACTGTAATCCAACACAAGCGTAGGTGTATTACCCAAAACATATCGTAACAAATCTAACCCTAGGTCATTTTTTCTACCAATGAGTACTGAAAGTATTTTGCTTTCTAAATTCTACGTTGCCCAACTCTGCTTGCATTGTGTGTGCGTGTGTGTGTGCGTGCGTGCGTGCGTGCGTGCGTGCGTGTGCGTGTGTACCTGTGTGTGTGTGCGTTCGTGCGTGCGTGCGTGCTGTACTTTTTGGTTGAAAATTTTGGTTTTATTTTGTATCCTTATTCAAGGACAACAATGTGTTACCTTAATGTCTATTTGTAATCTTGAGTAAATAAATATACCAATTCCTAAAATTAAATCGTTGATTGACTGACTGACAAAGTGAAAGCACTAACGTTACGTATGCATACGTTGAAGAATACTACAGTTATTGTACTCAAGTTTGTATATACATTCATGCGTACTGGGGCAAATGCTAGCATATCTGTACTCTATGTTTTGTACATGTATGCGTAAATGAGTGTGTTCAATGCGTATTTTACACAAATACACATCTGGAGCACTGTCAGACTACTCACTACTCCTGCCACCCAAGACCTTCTCTTCGTGATTTACATATGACGGTGTAACATCGTCATCAAGAATATTGAATGACTCTGAGAATTCCTTTAACGGTGTTTTGGGACAAAAAAATTAGGAAAAAAACTAAAAAAGTATGAAAAATTAGGAAAAACTAGGAGCAAAGACAAAAAAGTAAGGAAAAAGTATGAAAAGTAGGAATCCTTGAAAGCCTGCAGGTATATAACCCAACACATAACGTAACAAATGTAAACCTACTCTTGTGTTGGGTTACGTTGTATCAGCATGCACTCTACCGACTTAAGAGGCTTGGTAGAGGACTTTACAGACATTTGTTATGTTATTTTTATGTTATGACATTTAACGTTTTCAATCACAAATGCTTCAGTTGATGAACAATCAATATAAATTAATCTAGAAATAAGATACCAGCGAGATAAAGTGATCCTCATTACTTCCACTCATAACGTACTAACTTTTGTACTGGTTTGTTAGTATAGATTTATGTTCTAATCTATGATATACACACACGCGCGCACACACGCTCTCGCATGCGATCATCAGGTACATCCTCTAAAACTGCCGAAATGCCTTAATTGCCTAATAGACATTCCTTAATTCCCAAGTGTGTTTACTTTTGACAATCCAACACAGTGATGCTGTGTTTTCTTAGATTCGTGTATAAGTCGCCGAATTGACAGTTTATCTGCGTATTTGGTCACCCCATCCATGTGACTCGCATAATTGACTCTCATTGCTACAACCGCCTCCCGGGCACTCCTCTATCCGTCCATAAGCAACAAAGTTAAATAAAAAGTTAAAGCCGTTCCCGTGTCTATGTGGCGCATAGGGCGGTGCCTATCTCCGTTTCCTTAACTCGAGGCCACGCAGCTGCTTTCACAGTAAATACTACAGTGGGAGGTTAGTCCACTGGTAGCACTACGAGTTAACTTTCCACACTCTATCTTTATTTGCTGAATGCTAAGCAAAGAAGCCGTGTGTACCATTTTTCAAGTCTTTTGTATGACCCGGCCGGGAGTTGAACCCCCGACTTTCCACATGCGGGGCGAGCACTCTACCATTCAGCCACGCTGCGGTCACATTTATAAACAACACGTCCTCTGAAAATCACGGGAAGAACCCTACATGGTTACACATTTCATCACTGACAATGCTACCACCAACACCACTCACTCCAGCCAACTAGTCAAGAAACAACACTTACCATGCTGCTCAGGAAGAATGAAATAAGCACACACGAACGCGACAAGGATGAAGCCACCAAGGACGTAGAAGGGCAGACCGAATCCTCCAACATAGTAGAGCGCACCGCCAACAACTGGACCCAACATGAGACCGAGACCGTTGAATGTCTCCAGAACACCCTGTCACATGAGAGTAATAAAGCATAATAATTACGTTTCACGTAATAATATCTGTAAACTATGGAAAACCCGATGAAGGACGATTCTTAAACTAGTTGTTCGTTATGTTTCGCTGTGCTGTTAGCTTGCTATATTGATGCTAGTCTACTAGCTGTCATGTAACTCGTTTCTCAGATGCAAATTCTTTCATACAATGTCTTCCATTACTTGATGATATGAAAGGCGTAACAGAGGACAGAGCATACCATACTAATGTTTAAGTGCATCCCATACAATGATAATATCCAACAATTTAAGATGCCAAATTTAATTGGAACAGAAACAAAACTAAACACACATGGCTTGTCATGTCTCTACAGCACATACATGATTTTAATGTGAAAAGTTATAAATTACACAAAGAAGCAATAGATATTATTTACTATCATTGATTCTTAGAGGCAGTTTGACCTTCAAATTACATTAGTAAACCACATGACACACTTTAATTGTTCATTTTTACAGCTAGTCAACCATTTTGACTGCATTTACAAGTGCACTGCATATAAAAGATTATTTGGCTATGCGAAAAAGATAGTTTAGCACTTACGAACATTGTAGCAACCCTCTCAGGAAACTCGTTGGCAATGATGGCGAAGGAAGCAGTGATGTAGGCGCCTGCTCCTAGTCCCTCTACCACTCGTATAGCTATGCTCAATGACACAAAATCCACACCGTCTGGCACCATGTCTACGAAACTGAAATCAAGAAGTGTAAATGTCGTTAAAGAGAGCTTTTCTAACTATACTACTCTACTCTACTATTCTATACAATGTTCTCCTATACCATACTTTACTACACTACACTACACCATACCCCACCACCATAGAACTAAACTAGAAGAACTTCTATTCTAGTTATATGCCCACCACTTCACACCACACTAAGCTATTAACTATACTATAACGATACCAATATAATAAACTATAATAACTATGCTAAGATTAACTATACTGGTTTAATTATACTATATAACTACAGACTACACTATTCTTTTATACTAGAGAGAAGCCATGAAACTCAATTTCAATATTACTATTGCAAGGGTGATGAAATGCATGAATATATTCTAAAAAAGGTCAAGTGTTCTCTAAGTCGTAAAAAATAGTAGGTAAATGCTATAGAGGGGCTTTGACACTTGACTTTTGTTTTCACGGGTTTTCTCCCCTTATCTGAGTACGTAGAGTGTAGGAGGTACAGCCATTCATATTTGTGCTGCAAATTTTGTGTATGCACAACACAGAGCCTACACATCAAGTCTGTTAATGTTTTAATCTAATGCTTCCCTTTTAGTCAGTTTCATGTGACCTATGTCCACCTGTGCCGAGTAAATGACTTCTTTTCAGATTGCACCCCATATGCCAACAATACAATAAACACAATATCAGACACAATTTAAATTATCGCCTCTGCTTTGTGCCGTTCAGATGGTTGGCCGCTTTCACAGCTGAAAAAAACATTTTTCGACCACATTACTTATCTTTCAATCCGCAACTCCACCCACTAACCTTTACCCATTTCTCAAGATTATTCTTCAGATATTAATGAATTGTGGCCAGTGACACAGACATGTATAAATAATATGACAGTGTTGTTGCAATTCTCTTTATTTAACGATATCAATGAGGTTGACAATACATCTCATTGAAGCTTATCTGGGTTTTACATAGACATTCCCATATTATATATATATAATCAAGAGCTAATAATACCTTATTATTTACCTTATAATACCTTATTATTATACCTAAAAAAGGTATTATTAGCTCTTGATATAATATATATATATAACATATGATATAGCGACTTTTTGCACCAATGTCATGTATTATGAAATATTTTGATCGCATTACGTTTTCTTTTCTTTAAACATATGTAACATTTCATATATGTGTAGATATGAGATCACCACACGTTCATTGTTAGGAATACAGGAACTTGGCACAAGACTCACCTGATGACAAACCCAACCGTGACCACACAAACACCGTGACCGTATATATAGCCGTGATAAATACCAAGCATTATCAGGATATTATGTTCCACATAAAATAGTGAAAGAAACAGACCGATTTAAGAAACTTTATTCAATATTGATTATCGAACCACACTGTTCCAACAAGCGTGGTATTATTAAATGGACACTGAAACCAGTTTATGCGCACCAACTTGAAAAACTAATAAAAAATGAAGGTTTCGATCAATGTCACAAGATTCCTAACCACACCTTGCTATCTTGCAGCAACACAATTGCAATGTGGCCCGGAGCACTCACCCAAACAAGCAACATGCCGTCCCAACAGTAAACATGCCAGCAAGAAATGTAAATCTTGATCCAAGCCGTGTCATCTATATAACAGATATGGGTATATATATACACAAATTAGACATCTCGGCACTATCATGAACATATCTATACAAATAGCATATATGTATAGATATTATGTTAAAACAGTACTATGTGTGTATAGATATTAAAATGACTTTTTTTCTCCTATCCTTACTATGGTGTACTTACAAATCTACTACTATACTACTAGTGTCAATTCTAGAATTTCAAATATCAATCCAGTCATTGCTAATTTATCATCTGTATAACACTAACAGACGATATAAGGGTGTATAAACAAACTATACATCCTGGCACAACCATGAACATATTTATAATGTGCAGATATATCCATGATACTGCGTGTGTATATATATATATATATATATATATATAAATGACATTTCTCCTATCTTTACTATGGTACACTTACAAATCTGCCAAAGAAAGGCGATGACAGCGCTATTGTCAATTCTAGTATTCCAAATATAAATCCAATCATTACTGGGGACACACCTTTCTTAGCAGCCTGAAGCATAAAAATACATGCTAAATTAGTCAATGCTTTCATCGCACATAATCAAATGCAGAGTTTTGCTTGCTTCCCAGATTTTAAATACATCATGCAGGTCGATGATTATTAATGCTCATATACCTATTGAACTACCCTACCCCATTTGGCGATTTACATCTACAGTTGTGGATAAAAACTTTCGATACCCATGTACGTATTAACTCGCTCTTGCAGAAAATGTGAAAATAACTAGAAATGGCAGTTGTCGCCAACTACATGTATCCCCCGCGATCTAGTATGAATGAAATATCTCTGTAAGGACGTACAAGGTAGGTAAAGTGAAATAAGTCACAAAGACAAAGGTTTGTTACACAACTCATCTGCCTCAGATGTGCAAGTATGGTCAAATTTGGTCACCCTAGAGGGCTGAAAAGGAAAACTAAGTCCACGGTCAAGGACAAACTAGGTCAGTGGTAAAAACACACTATATAAAGAATCTTACTGTATAATACTGTGCTACACGGAAACAGTACATAATGGCAAATTAATGTATGCAAAGTATAGTAATTATAATTATTAGCACACAGAGAAACAGGGATAATAAAGCTGTTGAGGTGTTACAACATACAAGGATTACTTCTGAATCTCAAGGTATACAGGGTCATGGTCACTGTAGTATGTGGAGAGGACTCCAGATCATACACTGTGGCAGTTCTTTGTGTAGATGTGACCCAGCGCTATGTTGATTAGGGTAAAACTAAAAGTTAAACTAAAGGGTTTAACTTAAAACTTAAAAACCCCTAGGTTAAAATTAATTTTCAAGTCCAGAGTAAAGATGAAAGACAGGTGCCAATGCGCACTTTCTCTCTCAGACGTGTAAGTATACCAAGTCTGGTAACAGGTAAATTAGGGGCCCAGTTATAGAGCCGAAGGGAAATATGATCAATTTCAAGGTCAAGGTGAAATAAAGGTCGCAGTGACCTGGTTTTGGTACTTGACACACCTTCTGCCCAAGATGTGTAAGTATACCAAGTTTGCTCGTGCTAGGTCAATTAGGGGCCGAGTTATAGAGCGGAAGGGAAATATGATCAATTTCAAGGTCAATGTGAAATAAAGGTCGCAGTGACCTGGTTTTGGTGCGCGACACACTTTCTGCCCAAGATGTGTAAGTATACCAAGTTTGCTCGCGCTAGGTCAAGTAAGGGCGAGTTATAGAGCCGAAAAAAAAGTGTCTGCGGCGGCAGCTGGACAGACATGAAACCATAGTATCCCCGCCGACTTCGTCGCGGGGGATACAATAATGAGGAGCCTACAACCTAAATTAAAAACTGATACTATACATTATGGTAGGAAAAGCTGGCCTACACATTACACATCATATGGCAAGGGTTACAATGTTAGGGCTAGAGTTAAAGCACGTGAATTTTAGTTAACCACAACCCTTGCCCCGAAAAACCAACTCCAACCTATCACCAAGTTTAATTTAATGTAAACACGCAGTTTACAAGTACTTTAATAAACACCATAGTCCTAGATGTAAATTTACGCGACCGGCAGTTTATTAACGTAATAACAGTAGTAGCAACGTAAGTAGATTTTCGCCAGCTGTGTGGAGCTAGATGGCTCAGGTAGCAGTTGGATAAACACATGCATGATGTTGTTGGTTTGGGTGGATGTGCCAACAAGGGGTAGTTAACTACAACCCTCACCCTAACCCTGACCCAAACCCACATCCACAAATTCAATCCCAAACACGATTCCACCTCAATCACTCCGGTTCTCCGCACGCGACACATGGCCGCTCGACCACGCCCGGCGGCTCAGACGCGACGGTCTACGCGCGCACGCTTACTAGTGATTGGAATCGGTTGGAATTTCATCATCGATCATCGGTTACACTTAACTGATAAATGATCGAAGATAATCGGTTGAATGTTATTGATCCCGGCTACCAAATATTGAAATATTATATCATATATCATATAACACAGAATTTTTTATAACACAATATTCTAAAAGCCATGTAACAGTATTATGCTTGCTTATGTTTGGTGTAGGTTAGATTTACTCTCGCCAAGCTGTAAATTAACCAAAATGAAAGTGTCAATGACACAGTAGCTCACCTTGGGTGTGATAGAAGAGGGAGGGGAGATATATAAAGCAAGAGTATATATAGGAGAATTCCCATTATATATAGCATATATCCCATTTTATACACTTGATAATGATATATATACATAAGATTTGATGCGAAAATAAATGTTTGATTTGAAAGTCTGAAATATTGACGAGATGGCGCTACGCCTAAATGATCGCCATTTTGGTTTTCGAATATCGCGCAAATAAAAACAATAAAATATTCCAGTCAAATTACTGTAACAAAGAATCTAAAACACAATATATTACACGTATATATAGGTATGATTATAGAGTTGTTGACCAGTTAGACAAAATAAACGTAATAGGACGTTGTCATCTCTCCCATAGGAGTAACAACTGTTTTGGGGCTAGCCAAGTTACACATTCACATACCAAAATTTAACAAAATCGAATGAATTTAGATGGCCACTTTCATTTTTGCCAAAAAGTTGGCGTGGCTCTATAGGTAGACCTGCGCACTCCAAAATAGGAAGTTCAAGTCTCTCCCAAAGGCGTAACAACTGTATTCAATCTGAAACATGTGGGTCAAACGGTTCTTGGGTTATCGTTGACCGTAGACAGACACTGAAATGCATAGTGAAATTGCCAAAATCTACCTAATTTGCATAATTAAAAAAAAATATCAAAACCCGTGTGATATGTTTTGGGGCCAGTCCTTATTCATTCACATACTAGAAATGAGCAAAATCCGTTGAACGGTTGAACCTGAATTGACTTATGGCCATTTCCATTTTTGCCAAAAAGTGAGTGGCTCGAAAGTAGGTCAACTGGCGTGCTCCAAAATAGGACGTTCAAACCTCTACCATACGAGTAACAACTGCATGCAATTTGAAACATGCGGGTCAAACGATTCTTGAGTTATCGTTGACCGTATGCAAACACTGAAATGCATAGTGAAATTGCCAAAATCTACCTAATTTGCATAATTAAAAAAAACAACCTGTGTGATGTGTTTTGGGGCCAGTCCTCATTCATTCACATACCAGAAATAAGCAAAATCCATTGAACCTGAACTGACTTATGGCCATTTCCATTTTTGCCAAAAAGTGGACTTGGCTCAAACGTAGGTCGACCGGCGTGCTCCAAAATAGGACGTTCAAACCTCTCCCATAAGAGTAACAACTATATGCAATTTGAAAACGGTTCTTGAGTTATCGTTGACCGTAGCCAAATGTTGACGGACAGACGGACGGAGGACAGACGTACGACGGACGACACCCCGTGGTAATAGCTCATCTTGACGATGTCAAGGTGAGCTAAAAACATACAAAAATATAATAAAGAGTCATTTCATCAATGTTTGCAAATTTTCCAAAAGTTAAAAAAAAGTTTTTTTCGGATTATCGATACTCATAATCGAGCGCTTAGTCGGTTGCCGCAAACGACCGACTTTCGATTATAATCGATCATCGGGAGACATCACTAGTGCTTACCTCCTTCGGGTAGAAGGGCGCGATCAGCGAGTAGAACACCGAGCTGCAGAAGTTGACGGTCGACAACATGGCGACGACAAGCACCTGCCGGCGCGATATCGTCGAGACGATGCTCGGCTGCTCGTCGGTGCCGATGAAGAGATCCTCCACCTCCTCGACGGACAGGGACGTCGAGTATCGACACGATGTACGCAGCGACATCGCGATGGTTGTGCGTGTGACCGACGGTCAGCCTGAACAAACTAAATAAAATAGTAAATTGAAAAATTAAAAAAATGGTAAAAAATTAAAAATCATTATAAGACGGAGAGCGACGTTACGTTGAGTATCGACACGATGTACGTAGCGACATCGCGATGGTTGTGCGTGTGACCGACGGTCAGCCTGAACAAACTAAATAAAATAGTAAATTGAAAAATTAAAAAAATTGAAAAATTAAAAATCATTATAAGACGGAGAGCGACGTTACGTTGAGTATCGACACGATGTACGCCGCGACATCGCGATGGTTGTGCGTGTGACCGACGGTCAGCCAGAACAAAATAAATTAAAAACCATAAAATATAAAATAATTATAAGACGGAGAGCGACATCGAGTGGTGACACGACGAATGCATGTACATCGTGGTGGTTGGCGTGCGACTGACAGTGACAATCAGCCTGAACAAGCTCAGTACCAAATTATAAAATATATAAATAAATATATAAAACGATCAGCCCAAAGGAACTAAAATAGATATATAAAAATGACCCATCCCCCAAGCCTATATATATATATAAAGGATATGTAGTAGATACACTACAGTACACTAGTGAGTATGTAACTCTGAGAGAGTAGGGAGTGCAATTTGTTCACTCGTCAGTTGGTGACCAGTGCAGCATGTTTTGATCGCCCCAATCCCACGATTCTGGTCATGATGTAGAGCCCTGTGTATAAACCCACTCGCCAAAAAATCGCAAGTACTACTACAGGGGTCGAAATAAGCGATGGTCCGATGGTCCGATGGTCCGGGGCCATCAAATAATCAAGAGAACCATCAGATTTTCAAAGTCAATGTTCCGAGTCCGACGGACCATTGAATATTTTGGTCCCATTTTACAGTAATTTTCTTTGAAGTTTCCACGTTCCAATATACGATTAAAGTGAATAAAAAATTACTGTATCGTTTGATACATTCAAATTGTAAATAATTAAACCATTTTATCACCATGTAAAATCTCTTTCTTATGCTTGCACACCGCATTACTTTTAGAGAAAAATTTCAAATTTAAGAGGACCATCTAAATTTCAAACTAGATCTTCTAGACTTTTTTTTCTACTTATTTCTACCCCTGTATTACTATGTACAATTTTCTACTTTCCATTTCTAATCTCTGAAACCCGCTCGCATTTTACGAGTGTGCGAGTGCGTATTTTCGAACCCTGCTATAGGAAGTGCAGTAAGTGCAAATAGGTAGTAAGTGCAAATAGTAGAGCAGGGATAATGTAAAGTTATCTGTTTGCGTAACGCATCTGCAGCTAAGGTGTGGCTGCACCACGAACCTCAAAATTCTACATGAATCGATAGTGGAACTGATGGATAATCGAATTTTGGAAACAAGTTACGATGAAGACACGCTTGTGTAACACAAGTGCCGCAGAGCGACAGCACTCAACTGACGTGTACTGTAGCCATGTATTCTTCTGATAGACTCACTGGCAAACGAATCGAGTGCGCCCTCCGGCCACCGCGTTCGCGCTCAAAGCATATATATAGGATACTACAAAT